AAGGCCATGAGGTCAGGCTAGATAAAGGCCACTTTTACAGTCCACAACAGCTGAACTGTAGAGGGCTGTTAGGTTTCCACCTCAGGGTGTGTTCTCTCTGCTGCAGTGTCTTAAAGTAAAGGCTCTTCTTTTCTCACCCTGCCTCTGCTGTAATGTGAGGATGGTGCACACACTTAGTGAAGCGATGTGTGACTCCATGCAGGTCCATAAAACGGGTTGTAAATCCAAGCAGCTGGAAACTTGTTTGAAACCTAGAATTTACCCTCATTAGCTTATCACTTGAATAAAGTCATTTTCCCCGCTTTTAAACAGCAAAGCTTACCAGAGTGAGAGGATTGAGAGAGTTAAACAGAAAACAAGTTTTTATTACACGCTGCCTGATGACATCAGGAGTCTCCTCAGGGTGATGAGTGACGATGGCATCTGAAGAGGGAAATCCCCGTTATCCCGTGGACATGTTTACCAAGGTGTTGGGCTACTTTGTAAGATGTTTAGATGGAGCTAAATCAGTGCTGGGTGATGTATATCTCGTCTGTACCAGTAGTTATTGCAGTGGTGATTGATAAGAAAAAAAACATGGTTAACTGCAAGGTATTTTTAGTTTTGAAAGGTTTTCCTTTAGCGTGGAGTACCAGTGCCAGTATTGTCATAATACCAGAATTTTTAAATTGATACAATGCTTGATACAGAACGATATTGTGCAAAAAAAGCTAAAAACAACTCATTACTGTGTGAACATTAAATGTTTTTTGGCTTGAACACCGAAAATATTTACATTCTTATAGCTTGATTCAGTCTCTTTTATCTTCAAATGCAGGCAAATTACAAAATACAGCTTTTTTTAAATAAATAAATGAAAGTGTTAATGTTAGAGTATTGATTTTTTAAGAAATGCAGTGGTAAAACAAGGAAAATGGAAAATGTCATGAATATTATCAATTACAACCCTACACTAAGCTAAATACAGTGTATGTGGAGTTTGTGATGTTTCTGACCACTACTGTGACTGTGATTTAATTTGTGTTTATCTTGTATATATATATATATATATATATATATATATATATACATATACACAGCAGTAAGCTGTAATAAAAATTCTAACTCCTGCAGTGTGAGAATTACACACTTTTCAAGTTGTGATTTCAATATAAAAGTGATTAATCTTTCAGTCCTATCAATGATTATGACTGCTGTTTTTTTTTTTTTACTGCGTCCCAATCATGACACCTTCCAGAGTTCATGCTCTCATTCGTCTATGGAAAGGGTACACAAGCCTGGTTTTGGAGTGTCCCTGCTATAACACACCTGATCCAACCAGTCACCTAATCAACAAGCCCCTTCTGTGTTGTGTGGCTGTGTGAGAGAAGGTAAAAGGCTAAAATGTGTGGCGCAGGAGTGCTCCAGGACCAAGGCTGGTAACCTCTGAGCTATGGTAACCCAGTGGTAGGGGATGCCCAGCATTCCCTGAAGCTATCCTGGTTTGACCATCCCAAAATTTCGCCTTGTTCCAGCCATGGTTACTGTTTCAAACTCCCCGCATTGCCAAAGTTTCAGAATGACTGGCTGAGCCGTCATTGTTTCTTTGCATTTTTATGCATAATATCTGATCTCTTGTCACCAGCCCCCACAGCTCAGGGGAGGAAGGTGATTGGGTCACCTAAAAAATGTGTGGGGTAAAATGGCTCCCTATGGCACTCTGGGACAAAGTGAAAGCATGTCAGTATCAGGGTGGTCGAATCAGGCTAATGTCAAGCATATGTAGTGATTCATTATGCAAACAGCTGAGTTTCCAAGATCATCTTCGCTGGCCGGTATATTTAGATAGCCTTATTTCTGAATGTAATGAAGATCCAGTTTTATTTTCTCAGTGTTGGGGAGTCTTGGACAAGATATAGCAAGTTCAGTACTTTTTCAGTGCTACAACATGGTGAACAGCTCTCTCACTTTGGGTATTTTCAGGTCTTTTGCTGAATAGGCAAATCTTACACTGATGTATTTTGCTTATAGCCAAATCATGGTATGCATAGTTGGACTGAAATAGGCAGACTGTTTAACATTTCAGGACTTTTGTGTTGATAAAAGCTGGATTCAGAAATTAGAGATATTAGTTAAGCTGTAAGAATTTGAATAATTAAGCAGACAGTAAGTGTTTTTACATTTTTGCCACAGTATCATTTTAATATCGAAGACTGTGATCCTTGGTATCGATGTCAGAGTCAAAATTTTGGTATAGTCACAACCGTAGTTGGGTCAGACTAGTGATTCATTAAGTAAACAATATAGATTTAGCTTCCAAGATGAAGCCCTCTTCAGCATTTGTAGGGTTATTACTGAATGAAGTGAAAGCCCAGTTTCATTGTCCATTCATTTGTAGTATTGTACATCCTAATTGGTTTGTTCGAGTAAAGGAGCATGTCCTTGATGACTCACATAGGTTTTGTTCATGAGAGCTCAGTAAAGGCCTGATCTGCTGTTGCATTACAGACAAATGGTAACTATATTAATGAAAAAGCATGTGAATTTCAGGGTGGTCATGCTAGGCTAGCAATTCATCCTGTAAACAATACACATTTAGTTCCCCAAAATGCACTTTCCTTCCGCTGTAATATTCAGTATCTTTGTGTGTTGCCAAAGTCACTGCTGACTCACATGTTTGGTTGATCAAAGATCAGTAAAGGCCCATTTTGGTGTTATGGCTGAATGCTGTATGAAGTGATTCAGGGTAGTTGGCTCAGGCAAGTGATTTACTTTGTAATCAATAAACATTTAAGCTGCATTAGAAATCACTCCCTATCAGAGAAACAGTGCACCATGTAGTGTGTCAGCTGTTTTGTAGTAGTGTTTGAATGAATGCTATACATTTTTCAGTGGTTCCATGATCATTCTCCAGTCGGGTCACTGCATATCAGATCATATTAGTGTTGCACCAATACTGTATCGTTTCGGCCTTTAATACTGACACTGAAGCAAATGGTGTGGGATTATTTCGGGTTTTGACACAAGCAGTACTCAAAAATATTTTTTGCAAAATCTGTAATGCCAGTGTTTCGAGGGGAGGCGCAACCAGCAAGGATTTTTATATGTCATATTTAATGACGTTTTAAAGATAAACGCTACCAAAGAGCTCAGCAACATTTGGCAGCTCTGAAACCATTCATATGTGAAGTCATCCAACCTGTAACTGCCATGCATTCAAGCATAGTATGTTTTATTTGTGACACAGAACACTGCTTTTACCAAATCAAAACATTTAGGTTCGCTTATTCCATTTGCATCATCCTGTGTTAAAAAAACAGGCTCTAATTCATTTTACTTGACCTTTTTTCAACCTCTCTTCATCCCTTAGACTCCCTCACACTTTCTAAAAAAATAGTACTGCACTGTCACAGTACCCCTCTTGTAACCAGAGTGGTTTCCTCAATGGTACATCTCAGTACCTTTGGGCAGAGAACATAATTGTACCATAATCCATTGAAATTATATTTTTTAAGCTGTATTGACTCCACACACCCCGTCTCGCCTCCAGGCTTTTTATTTTATTGTTCTGTTTTAAAACATTTGGTTATGAAAAGGTGCAAATATGTACTTTTCACTTGGAAAAACTTATTTAAAGTTCACAGTTGGACCTTAAAACCACTGTTGGACCTTTTGAGGGAACATTTACACTGTTTGTACCTTGATGAACAAGAACACAGAACAAGAGCACAGAACCTTTATTTCTGACAGTGTAGAGCACTTTTGTAACTGCCTTGCATATGTAAAAGACTACTGTTCTGATTGGTTGCCTTGTATTGTTCTGGTTTTTGTCTTGTTTGAAAACAACTCCAGGTTGAAACACTCCTTGTAACTTCAGACTGAATGGGCGGAGCTAAACTGCTATAGGCTAAATAGGTGGATGTTTGCCAATGCATAGGATTCATATGACATCTCAAAAACAATGAATTTAAAATGGGTTGTTTTTGCAACTTATATATGTATATATATGTACAGGGTGATTTATAAAGATTCATCTGATTTCAAAATTTATTTCACTTGTAAATCATTACAGAACAATGCAGTAAACTGTAAATGCTTTAAGGGAGCATAAAGTTTATTATGTATTTACAATATGACCTCCTCCAGCTTCACGGACAACATCAACGCGATAATCAAACTCATCCCATATTCGAATGAGCATGTCGGGTGTCGCTGTACTCACAGCTCTTTGGATGCGATTTCCACGATCATCCAGTGTTGTTGGGAGTGGTGGCACATAAACAGAATCCTTAACGTATCCCCACAGTCTGGTGATGCTGGTGACCTTTTTCTTGGAACTGTTGGTACCAACGTCAAATGTTCTGAGCTGTTGGAGGTTCACCGCCATACTGACACCCAGAAACTCTATGACCCCCTCTTTTGATTGGTTCCTAGGCGCCTCACGGTTGTAAAAATATTGCGCTTTGAAATCAGATGAATCTTGTTGAATCACTCTGTGTATATGTAGTTAGTGAGTTCATAAGTGCACCACTCTGAACAAAGCAGTAGTTTCGAAGGTGAGCTCCTCTTCAGCCTTTCAAATGTTAATTCTAAATGAAGGGAAGGCCACAGTTTCCTCATCCTCTGAGTTTTGGTGTGCCATCATTGGTTTACCTGTGTAAAGCAGCACACCATTGCTGACTCACAAGGGCTTCATTAGCGAGTGCTCGATAAAGGCCCGTTTTGCTGCCGGGCTATAGCCGGATGGTGCCTATATGAAGTGCTGCATCACTGCTGACTGCACTGGGCTCAATCCTTGCTCGGTAAAGCGCTGCATCATTCGCTGTGGTTTGTCATTCAAATAACCTTGCCAAATCTGAGCAGCCCGCTGCCATACCACACGTTTCCCAGGTAACAGCCTTCTAGTTTTTTTTGGCAAACACAAAAGCGTAGTAGTCTCAGGGCCTGTCTAAGGGAGGACACACACATACACACGCGCACGCACACCCTCCTCTACTGCTGACATTTTTCTCCCGTCTCAGATTCCAGAGAGCTGCTGGACCAGAGACAGAGAGATAGTCTAACGAGAGGGAAAAGAGAAAGAGGAAGAAAGAGGGAGGGAGAGAGAAACTCTGTGGGTAACTGAAAGAGACTGGCATCAGTGGACAGAGAAAGAAGAGAAAAGAAGGGAAAAGAGAGAGAGAGAGAGAGAGAGAGAGAGAGAGAAGCAGGAGCGCTACGGGAGGCCGTCCCCTGGGGAGAAGCCCCGCCCAGTCCAGGAAGAAGTTCAGTGAGTATAGAATACCTTTTTTTTTTTTTCATTTTTTTTGCCCTATGCTTTAATTTCATTGGCTGATTTTGTCTTGAAGGCGGGGCTTGCAGGGAATTAGGGTCCATAGCAGCAGCAGCAACGGTCAAGTGTGGCTATGCTTCTTATGGAAATACCAGCTGCTAAACACATGAGCTAGTGTGCTACGGCAGTAAACCGCACACACACACACACAAACGCGTACACACCAGCCTAACAGGGATCACATGCTGTGTGCTTGTGTGCGTCAATGAATGAATGAATGAGTGAATGAATGAATGAATGAATGAATGAATGAATTATCAAGCTTTTAGGCTGGCCTATTCTCATGCTAGGCAGTGCAGAACCCGTCCACAAATAGACTGGCTAAGCCTGTTCATCATACTGGGGGTCTAATTTGGATTCCCCAGCATGAGTTCATCACTCTCATTAGAAATGTTTGCCCTGTAGTCGCTCCACTGGGTCTGCGCACGCTTCTTCCGCGCCCCAGCCTCAATCTGTGTGCACTGGGCTGTTCACTCTTTTGCTATAGCTGGTGTGGGAGAGGAGCAAAATGCATAATTGAGGTTGTGTGTGTGTGTGTGCATGTGTGAGATACTCGTTGTCTTGTGTGTATGTGACTGTCTCAGAGCACCAGTTCTCACTCCAGATGAGTCCAACTAAATTAATCTTCTCATCTGCATGAACACACACACAGTGCTGAGCCTGCCTCAGTTTCTCAAAACAGCCTCAGTACAACAGAAGGATGCCAGTAATCTGATATTAGTTCGTGTATCGCATAGCGGCTGTTGAGGAGGGAGTTATACTAATGTAAAAGTGAATTATCTGTGTGTTTTTGTCCCATGATATGAATTTTAGTTCACCAGTCATGAATTTATATGAGCGATTCCATTTCTTTGCAGCCAAATTGGCCGATTTTTAACCCAAATCTCACAGTATGGGATGCATGAACATATGAACCACTCAAGCATGTAGGGCTGAAAGAGTAATTGTTTTAAACATTAAAATCGCAATTTGAAAAAGGCAAAAGCTGCAATTTTATCATATAGAATATCTTAGCCAGTTTTCCTTGAAGTCCCAGTAGTTACTGAATAATAAGGCTTAGTATGTATTAAGCCTGGGATTTTTAGGGGTTAAACTAACAACACAGAGATACGTGAAAGAGCTGTAAATGAGTCAGAGCAATCGGAATCAACCAAACGTGCTGTGTACATGACAGCACACTTACAACTGTCAGTCTAGCACAATGGTTTCCACTCAGGTCCTCAGGTCCCCCCCAGATGGTCCACATTTTCCCTTCATCCCTGTGTCTTGTGATTTAGGTTAGAGTAAAAGTGTGGACCATTTTGGGGCCCTCAGGACCACATAGAGAACCACTGGTCTTGCACACTGTGTTTAGCTTTCTAGCCTCAGGCCAGAAAATGCAGACCTCAATTCACAGAACGATAATGGCAAAGAACATATTTTTTAATAATAAAGTTGGACCCAACACACACTAGTTGCTTGACAGACTTGAGGGTGAGTGAAAATGGTGTTGAATCTCTCAAAAACTGGAGTTTTCCATCCTATTAGGTTAAGTGCAGAATGTATCATTAATCAGTGCAGTTTTTGGTTCTGCGACAGTGGAGTTTTTCAGACAATAGCACCGATTCTGCAACAAGACCACATCCATTTCCACACACAGCATGTTTACAGAATGTTTGTTGACAAGCTGTTTTGACAGTTCTTAGCTAAGACCTTGAGAACTGAATGGGTGCTGGCTTTATGCTTTATGGGTGTGTGGGAAAGCCTTAGAAACAGGAAAGTAGCATGTGAGTTCTTGTGTATCACGTGTATCGTGATATTGATAATACCATGATGTTGCTTATCAGTTTTAGCCACTTAGTTAATAGTTAATAAATATTATATCAGTGATATAATGCTTTTAACATAGTGGTGTTCTTGTTGACAGGTGGTTTGCTTTTGGCTTTTCAGTTCTATTTTGTGCACTTCATCATGGTGTCCAGGAACTGACAGTAAATAGATATTAGGGTTATTTTCTATATATCTGGTTTGTATATGGTTAATGTTTACAGCAATGAGTGAGGTTCCCTTTTCTTGTCATTTTAAAACATGAAAATGGAGCTAAACAGCCCAATCTAGGTTTATAAGGCATTTGTTTAGTGTAGAGTAGCAGTTCTTAGGAATTCAGTGGCCTTAAATGTATTAATGCAAACTTAGCTTTATTGATCTGATACTGTATATACTGTGATATGTTCTGGAAATATTGTGATACTGAATTTCACCAATATCGCCGATCCCTACTTTAAAGACTTTCATATTGAACTACTGTGCACTGTAGTCGCAGTATGTTGTAGATTTGGTCAGCTGAGACAGAATGTTTGCCTACAGTGAAACGTCTGATGCTTTTTCATTCTGTGCATGGATAAACTGGTGGGTGGGTGTTCGTGAGCTGTCTTGCATGAAGGATGTATTTGAAAATTTGAAAAAAGTGAAAACTGAGCTAGGGGCATCCATTTCTTATCTGTCCATTTTCATCAAGGCACCTGTAAGGAATTGCCAGAACAGCTCAGCTGGTGCTGCAGTACTAGCTCAGAGTTTACTGAAAGAGAGCACAGTCACTGTACATGAGATATTGCTAAATTCTGACCTTGTAACGTTGTTGACCGAAAGGCTGAAAAGCCTTCAGTCTAGTGAGCGCATTTCAATAGAGGTGAAATATGTACCAGAAAGGGAACAGTGCTATTCAAGACGTGACTTTTTGTGTTGGTGTGAATGCACTATACGGTTACTGACCTGCTCTCTGTATCCGTCAGAGGAGTCAGTTCCTTTGGAGTCAATATTGAGCTTGGCTGCGGATGAAATTCCTGTGCTGCTAATGCGCTGTAATAAATCTGGTTGGATGAGGAGGCGGGGGTGGACTCCTCTTGAGCGTGTTTATTTGTTCTGTGGAGTGTCAGAGAGGGTCAGCCCTCTGCTCTTATTGGCTGTGATGTGGAGCGTTTGCATTAAACCTGGGCTCAAGCAGATCGAAAACCCGAGCGTCATGTAACACAGAAAACAGAGAAAATATACAAAAAAACCTTTTGCTTTGCTTTATTTCTCCCCATATTTTCAATGAATTTGTTGATTTGCTCATTTATTCATTCACTTATTCGTGCAGTTATTAATATTAACTCCCAGGACCTGTGAGTGGGTCCATGCTTCGGTTCCTAATGACTACACAATTTTTGTTGTAGTTAATGAATAACTTTAGTAGTTAATAGAGTGGTTTCTGTATCAATTATAACAGTTACTGGATCATTTATAGTAGTTACTGAATGGTTTGTAATAGTTAATGATAGTTTGTAGCAGGTACTGGATAACTTATAGCAAATACTGGATCATTAATAGTAGTTAGTGGATAAATTATAGCAGTTACTGGATCATTTGCAGCAGTTACTGGATCATTTGCAGCAGTTACTGGATCATTTGCAGCAGTTACTGGGTCTTTTATAGCAGTTACTAGATCATTTGTAGCAGTTCCTGGATCATTTGTAGCAGTTCCTGGATCATTTGTAGCAGTTCCTGGATCATTTGTAGCAGTTACTGAATAGTGTAGTAATTACCTGATCATTTATAAAAGTTTTTAAAAGAAAAACACAGTGGTTATGGAATAATTATGGAATTATAATTAATTATGGATTATGGAATAAATATGGATGATAGAATAGTTTGTAGCAGTTACTGAAAAGTGTTCAGTAGTTAGTGGATAGTATATGGTAATTACTGTATTTCTAGTAGTTGCGCAATAATATAATAATTTAGTAGATACTGACTAAATTAATGGTAGTTGAAGAATTATGTTTAGCAGTTACTGGATAACTGATAGTAGTTATTGAATAGTGGATAATTAATAGCATTTATTGAATAATTCATAGTTACTGAATAATTTATAGGTACTAATAAATGTTTAGTAGTTACTGGATAATTCATAGTAGATATCTGAAAATATATAATAGTTACTGGACGACACATAGTAGTTACTGAATAATTTATAATTGATACTGAATGGTTTATAGTGGATTCTAAATGTTATATGTTAGTTACTGGATAATTTGTAGTAGTTACTGAATCATTTGTGCTAAATAATAAGTTTAATAACTGAACAATAAGCCTAGTGTTTAAGGGATTTAATGTCTAATTTAAAGTGTTTTAAGTTTTTCCTGTACGGTAGTTATTCAGAGTTGCCTGACATGGACAAAATACTTGTATTGCGATTATGTTGCTATTGAAATATGCCAGACATTAAATGTTTAATTGCTACCCTGTCTGGCACTAAAGGTTCCCTAAAGAACCATTTATGTAAATGAGATGTATGAGTATGAAGAACCTCCACATTATGACAAAGTTCTTAGAAGAACCTTCACACATCTCATTCACAAAAGTAGTTCCATAGAAAGGTTCTTTAGGGGGGAAAATGGTTCTTCTGTGGCACCTCTTAAACTTGATTTGTCACTGTGTATTGCTGAGATGCATGTATAAAAGTTCAAGTACTAAGTGCCTTAGACTCTCCCTGCTGTTTTAGGCCTTCCTGCAGGCAAGCTAGTTAGTCAGAATGGCTCAAAATGGTGTCTGTATTTGAGAAAAATATCACATGGTGCCCTGTTTTTCCTCTACGGTAGTTATTCACAGTTGCCTGACGTGCACAAAATACTTGTATTGCGATTATGTTGCTATTGAAATATGCCAGACATTACATTAAAAACACATGGTTAATAAATTATTGCGAAAACAGTTAACAATATATTGCAGTCTTAGTTGCTGTCTGTGAAAACTGGAGCACCCAGAAGTCTAAAATAGTGACTGTTGCGTTTGGCTTATGTACCAGTTTCACATTTTGTAAACATTTGTGCCCTCAGTGTTGCGTCATCTCTGCCAGTCGCAGGTCAGAGGTTCAGTCAGCCAGTCGATTGTCACAGGCAGACAGATAGGACATAGTG